TGGACTTTGACACTGTTAAATCTTCGCTTTACTAAGACCCAATTATCATATGAATTTCCTGTAACAGCAATTGAAATCTAAAGTCATTGAGTATGTTATATTCGTACTAGCCAAAGTCATGCCTCACTGCCATAACCAAGGTAATTGATTAATTAATTTACAGTATACATGTTGCTAACCATTTATTCATATACTCTTTGTGCTCAGTTTATATTCATACCTGTTCTGCATAATACCAGTAAAATTTGAGAACAAAGATTTAAAGGTAATGATAAGATAGTATGCAATCCATAAGCCATGGGTTCACCATCAAACTTCAGCTGTTCATTAGGATGCTGCAAATGCCTGTTTGTTTTACCACCCTTCAGTGTAAAGATTTCCTACCTGGTAGGCAGGATATGACATTTGACCACCTCAGTAAGATTCCTTATATGCTGTTCCTTGTATCTCCTCACCAGTGTCCAAGTCATTGACACCAGCAATTGATGCAACTCCCAATCACCAGCCTATTGAGCTGTGTGGTATGCATCCATTGTCTCTGGGGTCTCATGCAGGATAGTTATTCCATGTCCACTAATAGACTTCTAAGCTATGTCAAGCAATTCAGTTTTGAAGGTGTCCTGCAGCACTGCAGGGATTGTCAGGTTGTTGAGTGCTGTGAAAACTTCAGAGATAGTGTCAGCAAACCTCTAAGCTCTGGATGGATGGATGGTGGGCGGGATGATGTGGACCCAGAGGGTGGGTGTAATCAATCTAATTGGTATGAAAGAACTCTGCATTAAGGCAAACCCATCAGTTATGAAGGATCCTCCACTTAGGGTTGACAAGGATGTGGTCACTCTCCTTTCTGTACCAAGGTACAAAAAGATCAATCTCTAGTATCCTGCAAAGTCCTGGAGAAGATTGTTTTCACTACTGGTATCAACTCCTGACCAAGGGGACTGCAGACATCTCTTGGCCAGCTTGATCACAGCTGCATTCTTCACTGAAAGCACCAAGAAGTATGCAGATATCCCACTGAATTTGGTGTAAAACAACTTTTTTTTTCAAGTATACACACATTGATGGAAACGCACACAGTAATGGAAGACATGAAGTTAAATGAGTATTTCAGTCCCAAGACTGTTTATTTGTTTGTTTGTTTACTAGAGCTGCCTCTATTAGTGAAAGCTGAAGTCTGGTACCCTCTAGAGAGGGCAACCATTGTTTGGTTTTACTAGTAGTAGTAATAGGTGAAACCACCGTCACTAATTATGATAGGTATTATCACCTCTGAAAGGGCAACCCCCTCTACCCTTAAACATTCAGTTCCTTCAGTTGACAAAGAGTGAATGTTCCATGCCCCCACCTGGAGAGCCTGTCTCAGGCAGTAACTTTGGGTGAATGCCACCCTCTTTGTCAATGCCCCAAATAAAGGTAGCAGTAAACTACAAGGCTCAGTATCCGCATGTAAAGTTCTCAGGTTTTGCGATGCATGCCTCATGCTAGGTTGGTGCTCACTGGGTTGCTATTCCCCATAGCCTGCCTTGCTTGCTTAGAGTGTAGGGAGTTTGCCATTCCCTCAGCTTCTCTCTTTAGTTAGGTTCCTATAGGTAGGTCCTTGGGAAAGGCAGAGTAGCAAGGATTGTTTCACCAAAGCCAGGGGTTTAAGGTCAAAAGATGGCATAAAGCCATTTCATGTCTGTATGCTGGCGACCCACTCTGGGATCCTCAATAGTTAAGCCTATGACGATAGGGTACCCAATTTCCATTGAGGCTATATGCTGGTAGAAGAGGCTTAGGCCTATCTGCATTCTTTTTTGCATCAGAATAATCAAAGAAGGCTAATATTTAACATAGTCTAACCACACTGAGGTTGAAGCACCCACCCATTATATCACTCAGTCTTTGGAACTTTGTGCTTTGTTCTAATTATCATCATCATTATACAGGAAAACAGATATGCTTACAAAGTGTTAGTAGTCATTTAAAGAAGTATTGTTGTTAACATTGATTAATGACTTGATAGCCCATTTTCACAGAAGGCTATCAAGTATTGAATAATTTTGTTATTGATTTTTTCACCAAAATTGTAATATAATACTTATATTTCTAGGGTTCATTTGAGCTCAATTACCAATTGCATCTATTGATGGGATACTGTGAAGGAGGAGATCTTTTTACTTGCATAAAACAGCAACATGGCAAGCTGTTTTCTGAGCAACGTGTTATCCGTTGGTTCATACAGATAACAATGGCATTGCAGGTAGGTATGATCTTTTCCTGCATTAGAAAAAAATAATGCAGAAAAATATTGATATTTCTTCAATGAGTTCTGTGATTCCAGAATATTTGTAAAATATAGAAACTATAATATAAGTATAATGACAAATACTAGTACTGGTATGAGATGAAGCAGCATAATATGAATTTTTTTGTTGAATATTAAACAGCTTTTTTATTTTCCATTTCCAGTACCTCCATGGTCACAATATTTTACACAGGGACCTGAAGACTCAAAACATCTTCCTTACACGTTCAGGTCTTATAAAACTTGGTGATTTTGGTATTGCGCGAATCTTGGGGTCTTCCATTGATATGGCGACTACTATGATTGGCACTCCATATTACATGGTAGGTGTATGAAAAATAGAAGGGAGATCTTTCATTATTCTACTTCATAATAAATCTTATTATCCAAATGTCATAGGTTTAACGTATAGACATGGACATGTTATGTTTTTACTTCTGGATGTTCTGATAGCATATTTTTCTGATTTTTTTTTTTCTAATTCTAAGTGGCTACAAAAGAATTCTTATAACAATATTAAGAACAATTCTTTATTATAGGCACTAATTTACTTAATTATATGCCTTTTTCTCATTATTCCATAGAGTCCTGAACTGTTTGCTGGTCTTCCATACAACTATAAATCAGATATATGGGCTTTAGGATGTTGTCTGTATGAGCTTGTGACATTAAAACATGCATTCCATGCAAGAGACATGTCAGGTCTTATCTATAAAATATCACATGGCAAGGTGAGTAATATAGTTGCATGTATCTGTAGCATGTAGATTCTAAGTTGGACTTGGAATTCTACAAATAGCATGGGTTCTGTGATACAGATGTCACACAACGTATCTTTGAAACTTGGTCATTAATAAGAATATAATAAAGAATCTGTGCTTGTATGCTCCTTAATTCTCTTATGCATTTCTGTCATAATCCTACTTTTCAGTTAGCAACAATAAGAACATAGTCATTAGAGAAAAAATATTTTTTGTTTTATAAGCATGAATAAAAAAAAAAAAAAAAAAAAAAAAAAAAAAAAAAAATATATATATATATATATATATATATATATATATATATATATATATATATATGATATATATATATATATATATATATAGATATATATATATATATATAGATATATATATATATAGATATATATATATATATATATAGATATATATATATATATAGATATATATATATATAGATATATATATATATATAGATATATATATATATAGATATATATATATATATATATATAGATATATATATATATAGATATATATATATATATATATAGATATATATATATATAGATATATATATATATAGATATATATATATATAGATATATATATATATAGATATATATATATATATAGATATATATATATATAGATATATATATATATAGATATATATATATATAGATATATATATATATAGATATATATATATATATAGATATATATATATATATATCTATATATATATATATATAGATATATATATATATAGATATATATATATATATAGATATATATATATATATATAGATATATATATATATAGATATATATATATAATATATATATATTTAAAGAGGTGTATTTTATATTATTAGATAGTTTTTAGGACTAAGAGAATTCATGAATGTTTTATTAACACTTGCCAATGTTATTTCGATATTGGGACAGCCTTACGTGAGTATGGGAGTGCTCCCAAACAGTAGATCAATTTACATTCCTCTGTTGAAAAAGTTCATGTTTTTTTTTATTTTCCACAGATTGGAGGCATATCCAAAGTATATAGTGAAGATCTGCAGTGCCTGATATCTGACATGCTAAATCGCACATCAGACCTAAGACCTAGCACATCCCAAATCCTTCACAGACCATTTGTGAAGGGCCATATTTCAGCCTTTCTAAAGGACACTAAGCAGCCTGCACAGTCTGGTGAAATTCAAAAGGTGACAAAGGAGGATTGTAATCTGCAGATAAATCCTAAAAAAGATAATGAAGATAAAATGAAGGAAGAAGTGATCAGACCGAACCCTGGTGCCAGAAGATGTTGTGAAATATTTCCTGAACTTGAGTCTCTGCAGATCTCTGGTGATAAGATGAAGTTGGAAAGCAGATCAAAAGTTGAATCTAAGCCAAGTGGAGTCAAGGAGTGCCAGTGCAAAAGACAAGGAAATAAGGAAATGCCATCTGCAGGCCAGGGTTCAAAATCACGCAGACGTCGGCATCATAATAAAAACTCAGTTATTCCAGATTCAAGTACAAATCAGGATCCATTAGTTGTTTCTGGAGATTGCTTTTTTCTGCGTGATATACCTTCCTCTGTAGCCACTGATGAATGCAGTCCATCAACTTCATCTGCCTTTTCTGCCAGGGAGAGGAGAAGACAAAGAAGACTTCAGGAAATAGACTTGGAGATTGATTGTGAAGAAATAAAGACCAACAGTAGTAGAAGCACAGAGAGTATTTTTGATTGTGAATATGTAACAGAAAAAGAAGTAAAAGCAAAAGCTAGAATAGATTGTTGTATAAAGGGTGATGCAGTTTCTGAAGTGTGTTTAGATAACCCATTAATTCAAGATGTACCAGTATCCTTAAAGTTCCAGGAAGTTAATGACTTTGTAAACATCCTGGACACAACACTAAGTGATGATGGTGTAGAAAACCTTGGTGAAACCTGTGCACAAGATACACAAATTTTAATGCCAAAGGATGGACTGGAATCAAGAATTGGTATCCTGGAAGATGCACTTATAAGTAAAGTGGGAAAGGTAGGTAATATTCAGCTAATATTTAAACAGAAAACATGAAAAAACATCTTTTCAAACTGTATCTTTGTGCTTCCAGTAAAACAGTTTATTTTCAGCTTTGTTAAATCAATAACTAGACCTCTTTACTGTAAATTGGAAAAAAGTAGTCAGTGTAGAGAAGGTAATAAGTGAAAAAGTTAAAAGGAAGGAATGGTACTTAGTAATTTAAAGATAGCATATACCATACCTTGAAAACTTCTTACGCTACTGTCAGATATAGACACGTGAAGTCTTCCACAATAATTTTTTTTCTTCTTTTTTTCTTTTTTCTTTTTTTTTGAGAACAAAACCTTTACCATCTTCTCTTTTCACCCCCTGTTCATAATATTTTTTTTTTTTTTTTTTTTTTTTTTTTTTTTTTTTTTTCAGGACCAAGCAGCAGCAGTGATAAGTTTGGCCAAGACAAACTCTTGGGAGGGCTGGGAAGATCAGAGAGCATTAGCAGAGAAGATACTAGGAGACCACCTGTTTTCTTCAGTTGCAACTATAGTCTGGCACCTGAAATTGTGTTATTGTTTTCATCTTGATGAACTTGATCATCCTGTATGAAATATGGTGACTTACATGTTGATGATAGTGAAATGTTACAGATTTTTCAAGCATATAATTTTTAAAAATCAAATAAATAAACTTAATTGTCTTACTCTGGCATGACAGGAACCTGGTTCATCTAGTCGAAATGTGATAGTATTTTTTATTATTATTATTATTATTTTTTACTATATAGGTATTATTTTTATTGAAATAAAATGATGTAGCTTTAGTATATTGATGTTTTTAATTTTATATACACACACACACAGTCTCTTACTGTTGCAAAATAAGTAGATCTTAATTTATTGTTTACATTTTTATCAGCAAATTTCTATTGCTAATTGCTGGTTTCCTAGATGTCAAGGTATAGCCAGTGATTTACTTCCAAGAAAGATAACTAGTCTATTTTACATAGGAATTCAGACAAATTATATATTTATAATTTCTTTTTGAGAGATATTACTTGTATTTTGTGCAAGGTAAGAAGTTCTTAATATATTTTCAAAATCTGTTTTAAAAAATAATCCCTAAATATAAAATATACTTCACTCAGGCCACCAATAAAGTTAATATATGAAGCTGAGAATGTGTATTTCTTTTACCCTTCAAAATTTTCAGTATTGGAGAGCAAGAAATCAAAACACCTGTGTTACATGCCATTCTCATGTTGATGAGTGAGGCTATTGATACAAAGATCATGATACTTATATTATGAGATCAGTAACACTAAGTAAGCATGATGCAATTTTTATTAATAAGGTCACTGACTAGAGTTACCTTATGAATCAATTATTATTCAAGTGGTAAAAAAGGTAAATTCAAAATTGAATATTTGCAGGGATGAAATGCGTAACTCATATTTGTATGACAGTAGGACCAGGACTGGAGCAGAAGGTTAACTGCTTACACATCAGTACCACATCAAGTAGTTTAATGCTTTACATGTTCATAATATTCATAACCCCTGGAGCTAGAGACAGATTACTATTATATAAAATGCATAGTTCAGACTGATTCATTCTTAAAAAAAGGTGCTGCTGTTTTGTTTAATGTATCCAGTTATCGGAAACTACCCAAATCTCAATTATTCATCTTAACCCAAAAGGCACGGATGGCAAGAATACATGCCATGCTCACTATAATATAAGTTTATTTATTGTATTTACACAGAGTCAGTTATTAGTCCGACCTATCTCACCTGTTTACCTTTTTCCTTGACTTTTGGAAAAGGTCTTCTGTCTTATTTCATTGTCTTAAAGGTTACCAAGACTTTAATAATTCAATAATCATAACATCAATAACAATACCAACAGTATCAATATCAAATGTATTAAAAAGAAAAACACATTTTCCCACTAACTCAAGGAAAGGGGAAATCAGGATCGGTCACTAAGGCCTACTGATAGACTCCTTGCCAGCAGAGCACATGTGGAGCCATCTATATGTAATAAAATTCACGAAAAACTATAGGGGTGAGAACATAAATCTGTGGTGGTTGAGTTAATGAAACAAATTTAAGAATGCAGAAATTAGATTGAACTTTAAAATATCTGCTACAGTATCTCCAGTCACAAGTTGGTGTGAAACATGAACTAGGTCATATATGAGATGAAGAAAGTATATATTGAACAAAATATCTCAGAACATTTATACATGAAAAAAATCTAGTTTGAACATTGTATATATGAGTATTTAAATGTTATAAATAACCAAATCATCAACTTGTTTTATCTTAATTTTTAGCTTTGCAATTAGCTTTACATGTATGCTATATTAGCTTTACATGTATGCTATAGAATTAAAGAAATATTTTGATTTGGTTAAATCATCCCTGTGCTACATGTATAATGCTGAAGCAAACTACACAGACATTACAAAGTGTCATCAGTTTACATTGTCAGTATATTCCTACATCACTTGTGCAAAGTAGGTTATTGCTTGTGATAGCATCACTTCCAACAGAGACTATACTAGCATCATTTCTCTTAAGGAAACATGCTAGAACATGTAATCTACTGAAGGTTTTAAGGCACTTTTTACATGGCTGGTACTTACAAAAAATGGAAATTTATTGTGAATTAAGTACAATACAAAAAGATTTTGAAATTTCTACAACAGGTAACCATGCATTTGCAATTTACTTGACATTTTTTACATCTTTATATTATGATAATAATAAAATACTAAACTGTTTTTTTTAAACTCAATCTTTCATTATCAAGATTTTTCCTTAAAAAACAAAACAAAACAAAACAAAAACAGAAGTCTTAACCCTTAGGTCATGGATGGCAAGAAATCATGCAATGGCTGTGGTGGACCAACTCATGGATGGCACTGTATAACGACATAACTGGTACCACCAGCTCATCAGAGGGAAATTGTCTTTCTCTGAAATCAGCACATCATTTGTTTAGTGTACCTATTGGATACAGGTACTTAGTGAAGGGAAACCTTCATTTTTATCATTTTAGACTTTTCTTTATAAAACTGCTACAAGCTATTAGGTGCTTAATGTTGTACTTGATGTACTGATTAAGCTACGTGTAAAAGGGGAACTGCCAATGCACACCAACAAAACTGCTTTACTGGCCACTGGCCAAATTTTAAGACACCAATACAAGAGTCTTGTGTAAGTAGATGGGTTATGTAATCTCAAAGGACATGCCTTGTTTATTCTAGAAATCCGAAATATAAACCCTACTTACAAACATGAAGTATTAATCAGTTGTAAATACTGATACTCCAGAGCTTATTAACAACTACAGATATATAATGTATTTATTCATGCATTGTATGTGAAAAAGACACATATGAATGATACACTAAATTTCAGAATAACCAATACTGTAGCTCTACAATATATACACCAATAACACACCCAAAGAATTACCTTGTGCACACAGTGAGGTAACATAAACAAGTGCCCTTAGATACCACACTACTTCTCCTGAGTTTACTTAAAAGCAACATAAGTACAGTGGGAAATAATTTCGTGACTCCCTTTTCTTAAATAATATAAAAATATTTCTGCTTGTAAAAAATAACATTGATAAGATTATTTGTTACAAAAATATGTTACTATAACAAATTAAATTCATATATAATCTCTACTTAATAACATGTTTGGATGTGAGAAATTAATAGCAGGGGCTAAGTTAAAGGAAAATGATAAAATCTCATAGCTCAATCAAAATCTAGAGGTAGCTACTGACTTTACATGTAAGTAATTATTACATGTCAAAAGTGTCTATTTTCTTCTGATATTCAACTTGGCATAAAACAATTATAAAATGACTGAAGTCAAGGAAAAGAATTAAGAAATGGTAATTAAATGACAGTACAATTATAAAATTTGAAGACATTTCATAATATGTCACAATAAATTTGTAAATGTTGAAATGCTATGAATCATATAGACTAAGTGAAATGATATAATTTAATCTTGCATTAAGAAATGGTCTTTAAATAAGTCTTTATAACTGTAAAATCCAAAGATATATTTCCTATTCAAAATAACATCAACAATGACCATATATGTTATATATGCAATGTTAACTTTTTCAGATTGAGTAAGACTAAAAGTAAAACACAAATTGGAGCCTTAATTTATGTCTGTAATTTTTTGGAGGTTCTATGACAAGCATTAATTTATATCTATTATCTCATAAAGGTTCCATAATAATGCTCTTTTTACTTTTTACAGCATGACTGATTTACTTCCTTTATGAAATCCCTATACTATAAACAGCCACCAACTGAATTCAGAAAATTGGTTTGGAAGAGACAGAATGGGTTGTCACACTTCTATGAATAAAATGGGTTTTGCATATTTTAAAGATATACATGCCATTTAACTGGATGTTTTCTAGGTTTCAGGTACAAAGCAACTATCTTTTATCAGTGTGCCTGATAGGTAGCCTTGAAATAGAAATTGGAATATATAATAATAAAAAGTGGGAAGAATGAAAGGAGATTAAAAAGTACATAAATAATAATAATAATAATAATAATAATAATAACAATAATAATAATATTAATAATAATAATCACAAGAGGAAAAAAGAAGCCAAGTCCACTCTAAATTCATATAAATCTTAAATGGTAGAAATATTTATAGAGAAATTTAATGTCAGGTAACAGTCATAGACAAAAATTTCATGTGAAAATACAAATACTAATATCATCATGCTAAATTTTTCAGTGTTTACTGGAGATGCGACCTTTACGTTCCATGTCCTCTTCTTTCAGAGTGTATGCAGGAAGGTAGACAACCTGACCAATGCGATCTCTTGTCTCCAATAGAGGATTGGGTAGTGTGTTGTCTTGGCTTCCTAGAGATGTATACCTGGTGGGTAATAACAGAACAAAAATTACTGACAGCAAATCAAAAAATAATATACAACTCATTATTCCAATATTCCTTAACTATGAAAATCAAAATCAATGGATTCATTCCCAACTATTTATATTAACACATACTAAAGTATATCATATAACAATTCCTTAATCACCTAAATTTAGGACAAGACTTATATTACTGTAGAGATTATAACATACTGTTCACATTTCACTACAAAATATTTTCACTTGGTTCTTACCCTCTGTCATACAAAGGACAGTAAGGAAGATAAAGGCCTCGAATTAAATCCCATACATTACTATATTTCCAATTGAGAATAGGATTAACCCGCATCATAGCTGGCCAATCATCATCCGTTGGAGAGAAAAAATCTAACTCATCTGGAAAAAAGAAACATGACTTTCAGCTGAGGTGTGTGAATACTGGAAAAAAGTGTCAATTATTTGCATAGCAACACTAATCAAATAAAACAGATAATAAACTTTAAACAACAATCTGAAACAGAATGGAGACAGAACAACTCACCAGAGTATGGATCACTACGACGAGTACCCATAATCATTGCTTTGATCTTTGGTCTATTTTCCAGAACCTTTGCTAAAGCTGCCTTCATGGGCCCTGGTATAATATCACAATCCAAGTCATACCTGGTAAAGAAATACCAATATATCAATTGAGCGAAAATTAATCATAGTCAAAAGTGAAAAGAAAGAATGCAGAATTTCTAAAGAAGAAAGGAAATACAAAAATATATGTATAATTGACCTGTTCTTATAATCATCTTCAACTCTGATAACATACCTATTTACAGAATGTTGTACAAATTCTGTGACTTGTGGAAAAGCTTTGGGTTCAGTTATATAAACAGCTTGAAGCTTGTTCTTGGGATGTTTCTTCTGCATTATAGCATATGCCAAGTGTAGTACAACTAGACAATCTTTCCCACCATTATAACAAATGCAGATTTCCTCAGGGCTGGAAAAAATAAGGGAATGATAACTTTAACTGTGCAAAAGTGTTGTTAGAAGCTTTAATGATTCAGGCTGTTAATACCCAGCAAGATTGGACCAACACTTCATCATGAAGTGGCCCAGTAATCAGTAATATAATACAATATAAGCATATATGCCTCTCTTACCCTCCTGTGTGGTCCTATGCTTGAGGATTAACCTGTATAACCAGTATCTGTGCAGTGTACATCATATTCAACCCAAGAATGTATAATTAATAATCTTGCTAATCATTCTACAAAATATACTATGCATTTTACATGATTTCCAGTACCTGTATCTGTCAAAACATTGGTTTAAGATATCCAGTGCTTCTTGAAGTGGAGTTTCCAGTGAAGGATTTAGAACAGAAAGATTATCAATGTAGTCCCAAGGTGAAGTGACAGTGTCTTCCTTGTAGTCAATCACTGTTCCTAGTGAAGAAACAGTTTGGTAAACATTGTGATGACCTAAAATATGCTATCCTGCTAAACATTTAAAAAAGGGTGAAACAAAATATGTAAATAGAGAACATGCATATATATAGGTACTTTCATAATCTTAGCAACAAATTTCCAATAGCTAACCTACTTCTTTCTAAACATTTCAAGAATATGAAAAAAATACCTTCTTCAAGTTGGCTTTTGAAATACTGTTCAGCCTCCTGTAATATTTCCTCATCCAGTGACTCCATAGTAATCTTAGTTTTGTAATAACTGTTAATAGAAAAAATAAGTAAGATTAGTAAATGAGATTACTCAAGCTGTCCATAATTTTTTCTCTTAAATCAAATGATTTATAACCAATAATCAATATCTAGTTTCTCAATACAATATTTTTTTACAATAAATGCTGGAATGAAATCAGGAACTTGCACCATTACTTTCATGTGTTTTCAGACTATTATCAATGGTTTTGAATATTACTACACAAGATGATGAGTTAATACATTACAATCAGTTATCAAGTCATGAAGGAAAACATGATCTAAACAACAGATTTAATATGCCTTTGTGCTTCATGCCTTAAAAGTGATAAAAAAAAGTGAGTGTGGGAGGTTAAAACCTCAAGCAAAGAGAATATTGTAGTTTGAAACTGTGTGGACAATGAGAAGGTCAGACAATCCTGAACCAAAATGAAAAAGAAGATGAAAAAGAAAAAGAAAAAAAAGGAAAGAAAAAGAAAAAGAACAACAAAAGAAAAAGAAGTAGAAGAAAAAGATAGAAACAAAGAATGAAAAAAAATGACAGCTAAAAATTGATCAGCACAGTAACCACTGGCTTTCCTCAAAGTTGGTTGGTTGGGGAAAGAAAGAAAGAAAGAAAGAAAGAAAAAAATAGTTTTTTAACTTTAAAATATTGCATTTTAACTGTTACAATTGAAGACTTAGCTATATGACAATGAAAATGTAGTTTCTTTATAAGAAAACTCTATAATTCTATAATATAACTGCTTCATATAGGATTTGAATGCCTTCTAAAAGAGAGATGTTAACTGAGAATTAAAAATTGCACCTTACACTATTTTCTGTGCATTCTCTTTCTCACACTTTTCTCCTAGTATGGACTGATATCTTCCCTCAAAGAATATCACTAAAATTTCCACTGTCCATCTGTTGCTAAACAAAGAAATAATTTGCCTACTGGTAACTTCTGAACACAACATACGAGCAATATCCCTCACAAGCATCTTATATGAGAAAGACACTATGATAGTCGACTTACTGCCAGTTATGTTGGAAGTGTCTTGTTATTTCTGGTTTTGTGTAAAATATGAAATTATAAATCAGACACCTAGATGCAGAATCAGGTAAATTAAAGCAGAGTGGAGAAGCAGCATAAATGATGTACTTTGGTTAGGTAAGAGTGAAAAAAGCTCCAAAACATTTTTGAAAAACTTCTTTTCAGAGTACTATCATCTATGAAATGGCTGATAGACTGCAGGAAAATCATAAACTTTTGCTAGGCTCCTTCATACCACCAAAGTCAAGTTTGAGTGATCTAACAGTGTCATTAACCCCTTGGTGCCGGGTGACGCTGATCGGCGTGTACACAAAGAGCTGAAAAGCTGGCGTGCAGCCGAACGAGCCGGCAGCGCGCCAAAGCGCGGCGAGCCAGTGATTCGGGCTGATGTCCCCTACTCACGCGCTCAAAGTCGGCGCGCCGCCTTTGTTTGTTTAAGCGTAGAGTTTTTTTTTTTCTTTTGTACACCCTGCGCCATTGGGTTAAAGAAGAAAGTGTTGAATAGTTGTGTGAGGGTAAAGACCACCATTTGTGTAAAGGGCAGGGAAATATTGATAGAAACCACATACTAAATATGCAAGAATCATATAACAGAATATTCCAAGCTCTATTTGCTCTAAGTCATCAAACCTTGGGTTATAATGCAAAGGTGGTGCTTTTCCGTAAGAAGTTCAATCAAATGTGTTACAAGACATGAAATAGAGTTACTTTCAGAGTAATCTGTGTGGTAACCCATCCTTAGCCAAATGTGCAAACAAAACTATTGGCTGTAAGTAATCCCACCTGTTCATACTATATTCCTGACAATGTTTTTCTTCAGAGTCCAGCCTGGGAGTAATAAAAAAAATAGACTTTCTTTTCTTCAAACCTGTTCTCAAAACAAACTACCATCTCAATTTTTTAGACAATGTCTAGGCTGGCATGTTACTTAGCTTTATAGTTCACTATCAAAAGCCTGTGTACCTTAGTGTATATTTGTGTTTGCTTTTCTTTTCTTTGTCACAGTAAAGCATAAGAGCTGTTAAGCATATTTTAGTTTTATATTTTACTACCAGTAGCAAATGTCCTAAAATACTGAATTACCAAAATATGGCAGATAAACACTGTGTGTAAGGATGTGTGTTCAATATAATATAAACATTTAATTGAGAACATGCTGAAAAAGTTAGATAAAAAACAAAAAACAAAATATTTTGTCTTGAAATAGTGCTATATATATTATCAATCATATAGTAAATTCTGATACTGTAAATGTGGCTGACCTAAAGCATCAAAGAAATATAAGAACCAAACATCCATACTAACCTATGAAATAACTTGGGATATGAGCCAAAAGACACAGATGGATATTTGGCAACAGTGTCATTTAAATATGTTGCAATGTTGACTTCATCAGCAGTAAGGAACACACGATGGACTTTGAAACCCATGCCAGGCCTGTGGAATAGTTTCTGCAAGTAAAAATGAAACTTAACCAAATTCTGACAACTGAAAGAAGCCTGCTAAAAACCAATGTACCACCAAGTATATTACAACTACATATTTCATTGATATATAAACATAAACATATATATATATATATATATATATATATATATATATATATATATATATATATATATATATATATATATATATATATATATATATATATATATATAAAATGTTATACAGATAATATGCACTGCTGAATTTTAACTTAAATTAAACGTTTAACCAGAAATAAAGTATCATAAAATATTACCTCTCCCAGTAATGCAAAGGCTCTCTCAAGCAGATGTGGAACTCCAGGAAATATTGTCACGTTCTTCACTGAAATTATTGGGTAACGTGATTTAACACCCTTTGATTTATCCTCTCCAAAGTGAAGCTCTGCACTCTCTGGAATCTGTTGGTCAATAAAAGAACACAATAGAATCTTTTCATACATAATCATGTGAAGATAATGATTCAATAAAATATAAACTATGAGGGCCATTTCAAAATTTAATATCTACCTACAAAACCAAACTCATATTTCAAAATCCATATAAAACAGTAGCCAATTCTATAATACATGAATAAGTAATATAAAAGTTATCAGTTTCATCTTTCACCCTACGTGAGCCATCTTCATAGCTGGAGAGCTGAGATCGTCAGTTTTGAAAAACCCGCTTATGAGCTTGACTAACAATGGGTGTGGGTGGACTTTCTCTTCAAAAGCAGCTGCAACGCCTGTATATACATGGTGGGGAGAATATTTAACTTCCTGTTATCTGTTATGCTGTTTAACCCATTTGCCCCGGATTTATGTTCTGTCCCCTGTAGTTTTTGGTGAATTTTGTTACATACAGATGGCTCCACATGTGCTCAGCCAGCAAGGAGTCTATCAGTAGGCCCTAGTTATCGATCCTAATTTTTCCATTCCTTGAATTGGCGGGAAAATGTTTTTTCTTATTAACCCAATGCTGCCGGGGAAAATGAACAAAAAATGGGGAAAATGCTGTGCCTATTTTCTATATTTTTGTGAAATGTCTGCCCATAGATGGCTCTGCTAGTGCCTGATTTGAAATGGCGGGAAAAACATATTTTTCACTAGTGCTATGAATATCAATGGTGTTATTTTTATTATAAACATTATAATTATTATAATGTTTTTTAACATTAGTAACAGCAAAATAAGATAACGTAAAAATTTTTGTAAATCAAAGGAAAGGGTAAACGGACGAGACGGGCAGTACTCATAACTGGTTCATTGGTGATTTAGTACAAGTGTTGCCATCTATGTGTAAAAAAATCAAACAAGTAACTCACAGTGGGCATAGCATGTACATACACATCATACATGTCGACATTGGGTTAATACCATTGCTATCGATGTTATGATTATTAAATTCCCATTAAAATATTTTAGACAATGAAATGATACAAAAGACCTTTTCCTAAAGTGAAGGAAAAGGGTAAACAGGTGAGATGGGTAGTTCTGATAAGCTGCTATTGGTGAATAAGAACTTGTAGAGCCCTCTATAACAATAAACTTTTCCATTCCTTGAATTGGCGGGAAATGTTTTTTCTTATTAACCCAATGCTGCCGGGGAAAATGAACAAAAAATGGGGAAAATGCTGTGCCTATTTTCTATATTTTTGTGAAATGTCTGCCCATAGATGGCTCTGCTAGTGCCTGATTTGAAATGGCGGGAAAAACATATTTTTCACTAGTGCTATGAATATCAATGGTGTTATTTTTATTATAAACATTATAATTATTATAATGTTTTTTAACATTAGTAACAGCAAAATAAGATAACGTAAAAATTTTTGTAAATCAAAGGAAAGGGTAAACGGACGAGATGGGCAGTACTCATAACTGGTTCATTGGTGATTTAGTACAAGTGTTGCCATCTATGTGTAAAAAAAATCAAACAAGTAACTCACAGTGGGCATAGCATGTACATACACATCATACATGTCGACATTGGGTTAATACCATTGCTATCGATGTTATGATTATTAAATTCCCATTAAAATATTTTAGACAATGAAATGATACAAAAGACCTTTTCCTAAAGTGAAGGAAAAGGGTAAACAGGTGAGATGGGTAGTTCTGATAAGCTGCCTATTTGGTGAATAAGAACTTGTAGAGCCATCTATGTGTAAATACAATAAATAAACTTGTATTGCAGTGGGCATGGCGTGTATTCTTGCCACATGGGGTGAATGGGTTAACCCATTTGCCACACATGGCAAGAATAGATGCCATACCCACTTTGAGACACGTTTATTTATTGTATTTATACATAGATGGCTCCACATGTTTTTAATCACCAAATAACCAGTTATCAAGAACTACCTGTTTCACCTGTTTACCCTTTTCCTTCACTTTAGGAAAGGGATTTTTGTATCATTTCATTGTCTAAAATATTCTAATGCCTATTTAATAATCACAACGTCAGTAACAATAATAACAGTATCGATAGCAATGGTATAAATTTTCCCGCCAATTCAATGAATGGGAGAATCAGGTCGGTAACTAGGGCCTACTGATAGACTCCTTGCCGGCTAAGTACATGTGGAGCCTCTGTATGTAACAAAATTCACCAGAAAATACAGAGGACAGAACATAAATCCGGGGCGAATGGGTTAAATAGAGATTGTAAGTACATGAGTTCATAAAATTTTACCATTGATAACTGTGATTTTCTTTTTTATGTTGCAGTTATATGAAAGCATTTATATTATGCATGCATGCATGCATATATATATATATATATATATATATATATATATATATATATATATATATATATATATATATATATATATATATATATATATATATATATATATATATATGCATTTATGTATATATATATAAGCATTTTTGTATATATATATATATATAAGCATTTTTGTATATATATATATATATGCATTTATGTATATATATATATATATATATATATATATATATATATATATGCATTTATGTATATATATATATATATGCATTTATGTATATATATATATATATATATATGCATTTATGTATATATATATATATATATGCATTTATGTATATATATATATATATATGCATTTATGTATATATATATATATATGCATTTATGTATATATATATATATATGCATTTATGTATATATATATATATATATATATATATATATATATATATATATATATATATTAGTATATATTATTATATATATATATATACATTTATGTATATATATATATATATATATATACATTTATGTATATATATATATACATTTATGTATATATATATATATACATTTATGTATATATATATATATATATATGTATATATATATGCATTTATGTATATATATATACATTTATGTATATATATATACATTTATGTATATATATATGCATTTATGTATATATATGTATGCATTTATGTATATATATGTATGCATTTATGTATATGTATATATCTATATATATATAAATTCTTGAATAACATACAATATGAAAACAAAAAGTGAAATAAATTAATAGATATTACAGAAAACAATAATAATAAAAAAGAAGAAAAAGCAAAAAAAAAAAAAAAAGGAGACAGTTCTTACCCTCAAATGTAAGGTCATCATGAGTGGGACCAATGCCACCTGATGTTAGGACAAATGTGTATGCCTTGGAAAACTTGGCTACTTCTCTTGCTATGGTTGGAACATCATCTGGTATCACAGAAACCTAAAAATAATTTGATTTTTTTTAATGGAAACTTTCTCTCTCTGCTTGAAAGTATTACAGGTGAACTTTTTTCTGAGAGAGCAAAAACTGAATAATTAATCACAAAAATGATTAAAAAGATTGTTTCTACTTATGTACAATTACAGAAATGAGGTTCTGTCACTTGAATGGTTTGATATGTGGCCTTTACATACTGTATTTATTAATTATTCAATAATTCAATAACAAAAGCTATCCTTATGTATAAACATGAACAAATTATAGAGAATACAGAAGTCTCTTACCACAGCTGTATGTAAAATATGACATGACTACTTAACTCACCCTTTGAACTTTTACACCATAACTATGTAGATTCTTTGATAAAAAGTGGGTGTTTGTATCCCGAGTTTGGCCTTTCAAGATCTCATCACCAATGACTGAAATTGTCAAGAAAATTCATGAATACAGTAATACTCTACTACTTGACCTATATTTTTCTCTCTCTCCCCCACCCCCATTTTCTCTCTCTCTCTCTCTCTCTCTCTCTCTCTCTCTCTCTCTCTCTCTCTCTCTCTCTCTCTCTCTCTCTCTCTCTCACACACAAACACATCATGTTCTAAACTAACTTATAATTTTAAATCTGACAATTTACATGAACACTGAATGTAATCATGAGAAATGAAAATTATCAATTATCTACTGTCAATTGTCAAACAGTATTAGACTTTATAAAATATATTTTGGGACTCAAGACAAGTTATATTAAAAGAAAAACTTATAGATTGGTAGCTGACTTTCTAATAAAATACAGTAAGAATTAAAGATAGGAAAATGTTTAGAAGAAATTACGGCACATTCATCTGTGACTATCAGAAGTTTGAGAAAAGTATGTTCTGAGAAGATTGATCATGACATGATACACATAATGGAAGTTTCCTAGCCTTTGGTAGAGGCACCCAGGCCACAACAATCTGTTGCCACTGTAACACTGTTATGCTGAACTTATGAATATATGGCATGCATCACAGAAACACAACCAGAATTATTTCTATGATAAAAAAGCCCATTTTGAGAGCCATTGTCTTCCTAAAATATATCATATGAGTTTATCTTGCTAATAAAAGAAAGATGTGAGTCTACCTAAGATTAGCCCATGCCACACTTTACGTGTTTCAGGTTATCATCCGAAGAAAATCCATCCAATAACTTAGAACTCCTTAATATTTTTTGATGTGATATACATCTAGCTTATATATACACTGACCTTGAAAAGATTAAATCTAAACTAATTTTGATATATATGTCAATCAATCACACTAGCTTCTTAATACATAGCAAAACATTACACAATTTGAAAGAAACTGTGCCCGTCTCTAGGCACTTCCTGGACACAACCTAAATTTTAGAATATGTCAAGTGTTACCATTCAAATTTTAAACATCAGTGTACTTTACTTTAGGTCTAACAAGTATTAAATTCACACACATACACATGCTTTGCATTATAAACTTTTTAAATGGAAATGTCCCCAAATAAAGAATTATATAAGAGAGATGTTGCACTTTTCATTCATTTGAGTATAGAGTATAGTTTTGTCCACATAAAACCTCTGATATTTTTATCATTAAAAGTCTATCCAATGATATGGTTTCCAAATCTAATATGAAAAACTGCTTTGTTTTATAGTTTACAAAAAAAAAAAAATACTATGATAATATTAATATGCACAGATTTGGTGGCACTCAATGCTTATCTAAATTTAAAAGCAATTTTGATGTAAATACCTGCTGATTAAAATGGGCACCAAAAGTAAAAGCTGTAACATTTATAGCCCTGAGTTTACCTATACTTTATTTATTTATTTTTTTACATACCATAATAGCCCTTCTACCTAAACATTTGTGGAATAACAGATAAACACAAGCTATCGATCTGCTTACTGATAATACCAGCCGTAGGGACAGAGGACGCCTCCGGGAAGCCGTTCTGCTCGCTCATCCTGACGAAGGCAGTATGGAGACCTCTGAGGACACTTGGGAAGGGAGCTCTGCAACACCCTCTT